TTATTGAGTTGTAAGAGTTTTTTATATATTCTGGATACAAGCCTTCTATCTGGTAAATGTGTTGCAAATATATCCTTCCAACAGTGGCTTGCCTTCCATTTTCTTAGTTATGTCTTTTGAAGAGTAGAATCTTTAAAACATCCAATCTGGCAATATTTTGTTTTATGGTTCATGTTTTCTGTGTTTTCTCAGCATCTGGAATTTGTAAACTTTCGCCTTTTACCAAATATGGGAAGCTGTTGGCTTTAATATCTTCAGATATTTTTCTGCTCTATTCTTTCTTTCTTTTTTGGGACTCATATTACATGTACATTAGACCTTCTGACATTGCCTCACAGGACCCTGAGGCTTTTTTTCCCAACCTCTTTTCTCTTTGTCTTTAAACTGGGTAATTTCTATTCATCTACCTCCAGGTTCACTCATCCCTGTTCTGATTTTAAGCCCATCCAGGGAATTTTAAAATTTCAAATATTGTACTTTTTCAGTTCTGAAATTTCCACTTGGTTATTTTTATATGTCCTATTTCTCAAATGAGATGTCCTTTTTTTCATTCATGTTAATCATATTTTTTACTTCATTGAGCATTGTTATAATAGCTGCTATACTGCCCTAGTGTAATAATTCCAACATCTGGGGCATCTTGGGGTTGACTGTCTTTTCCTCCAAAAGTGACTCCCATTTTCTTATACTTTTTTTTTGGAAAACAAGTGATTTTGGGTTGTATCCTGGGCATTCTCCACGTTATGTTGTGGAGAATTGGGATTCTGTTAGATTCCTCTGAAGAAATGTTGAAGTTTTTGCTTGAGCACACAATTAACTTGATTTGACTCAAATTGTGAGTTCTCTGTTGCTTGCTCTGGGCTTTCTCTGGGCAGTCGTTCAAATCTCAGTTCAATTCTTTAAGCTTTTGCTGCCCTGTCTTTTCTGCTCGTACATACTTAGGGGTAAGCCAGAGATTTGTGTGAAGTTCACATACAAAATTAGGGGATTTCCATCCCCAGCTCTCTCCTCTCTGGGATTCCTCACTCCCCAGTGACCTTCTTACCGAATACATACCCAGGTTCTTTACCTGCCACACAAGAGGGGCCAAATAAAACTGAAACACCAGGCTTATGGCAAGGAAAGAGTTTTTATTTTTGGGTGATGTCAGCCGGGAGACAAGAGCTCTCAAATTTGTCCCATCTCCCCGAAAGATGAGAGGCAAGGGATTTTAAAGGTTGTGAGGAATGTGGCTGCTTGTAGGGAGGGGGAGCCTGTGGCCTTGCTGGTCTGTGCTTCCCGCCAGCCTGCCTTTGGCCTTGCAAGGTGGAGGGCAAGACAAGGGAATTGCAGGTGAGTGTCCTTGGTTGTCTCCGTGGTGGATGGTGGATTCTGGTGCCAGGAAGACAAGGACTTGGGGTCTGAGAAGCCCCATCTCCTTGGTATTTTCTGGATATCAGTTTCCCTGTAACAAAACTTCAAGGGACCTGTAACTAGCCAAAATGTTAGCATGAGGCCACCTGGGCTCTAACAATTTGTAACTTTTTATATTTGCCTTGTGACTTTCAGGGATAGGAAGGTTTGAAAAACAGATATTTACATATGAATGTAACTTGGAGAAGCAGGGAGAGGGGATGAGTGCTTTCGGTTTTAACCCCATATATGCTGGGTTTAATGTAAGGGACCTGGTATCAGGGCCGGCATCAACCTGGGCTTCATCAACTCTGGTTTCTCTGGTAATCAGATGGTGGATTTTTCAAGAAAAACTTCACCCATCCCTGATGTGCTTTGTTTACTCTCCAAATCACCAGGTAGCTTTTTAGAGTTTGTAGATATCTGCAGGATTGGTCTGTGGGGACTTAAACCTCTAAACTCCAAGTGCAGCCAATGCCTTTTCCTGTTTGTTCAGTGTGCACCAGTCTGAACTTTTCAAAAAGATTCCCCTTTACTGCTTTTGTGGCTTCCATCTTTCTCTCCTTTCACTGAAACAAAGATGCTCCCTAAAGGTCTATTTTACGGTTCTGTCCTTAGGTCTCTTCTAGTGCTGCTAAATTTTCTCAGGAATCTCCTTAATTCACATAACCTCTCCGGACAGCACTTCCAAGATGCATTTTCACTTCTTCTGAGTCCCATATTTGTATTTCTAGCCATCTCTTTTACATATTCCCATATAACCTTTAGTCTAGAATCAGTCTCTTCTCTGGGCTCACCTGCTTTGGTTACTGGTACAGGATTTGTCCAGTGAGCTGGGCTTAGAATTACTAAGAGTCAAGGACACTTCTGTTATTACCCCCCCGTTTCTTCACTGTGAGTGGAGAACCAAGAATAACAGCAATGCTTTTAGTTATTTATTGACCAGTTGACAATACCTAACTTTAAGGAGGATCCCAAAAGAACTACCACAAGGCTTAGGAATATGGCCTCCTTGCCATCCTTCCTCCTGTGTATTAATATTGATAATTAGTATTGCTGCATATCTTTCCTTTATTTATTCCACATTCATTGCCAAGTATTCACTGAGCAGCTACCCTATGCCCCAGGCATGGTTCTAGAAATTGGGAAGAGGGTGGCCAACGAGACAGACAAGGTCCCTGCTGTTCTGGAGTTTGTGTTCTGGCGGGGGATACACATAAAGAGTAGGAAACAGGGAAATTTCTTAGTGATGTGCCATGAGGAAAATCACCAACAGTGGGGAGGCGAAGCTTTGGGATGAGCAGCATGACCACAGACAGGGTGGTGAGGGAAGGGCACTCTGAGGGGTGCCTTTTGAGCTGAGATCAGAATGATGAGAAGAAGCCAGTTCTCATCAGAGGAAACAGCAAGTGCAAAGGGCAGTGGAACGGTCAGCAAGGGCAAGGTGGTGCAGACGAGGCTGAGAGGGAGGAATGGGGCCAAGAGAGCAGTGCTGGACAGACACAGTAAGGAGTGTGGGCTTCATTCTCGGTGAGGTGCAGTCACTTGAATGAAGAAAATTACTTTTTTAAAGACAAGTATCAGAATAGATTAATGAAAAGTATCTTGTAACTATTCACAATCAACTTTATTTACATAGATAAAACCTAAAGGAAACATCCAATCTGAATATACTTGTGTGTTTGTATAGTCACTACTGTTAAAAAAAATAAGGGAAACAAAAGTCCATTGGAGGAAAAAGAGAATTTAGTCAGTGAAATCTTTTCTAGAAAGATGCTAGAAATTATTATTCCAAGAATCCTCTATTTTATATATATATATATACATATATGTGTGTGTGTGTGTGTGTATATATATATATATATGTACACATACACACACTCCTAAGAGCTCTCCAATGGCATAAGACAGTATTTTATGAAGTTATAAAAAAATCAATATTACCTGTCAAGTACTATCTCTTGCACGTGCAACCAAAACTGCTAAGGTTATCTGAACAAGAAATCTCCAGTGTCTATTACAGAAAGCTTTTAATAGAACTTGCCTTGACAATTTATTCCTAAACCTTCTTTTCTTCCCCCCAGCTCAGTAGAATATTGCTACTTAATTTCATGACTGCATAAAGCTGTTTTAGGCACTACCACTTGGGGAATAAGTATTAAGAGTTCAAGTGAATGCAAATGATGTTTCGCTACATTTTCTCAAAAGATTTCGCATTAGAATACAGACTATGATATTAAACAGTATTATGTGTATACAGTTCCTACAGTTATATATAACTGTGTCTTTCACAGGTACATAAGGTAAATCGTCCCAGTATTACTATTCCGGCTTAAAACTACTGCTTGCCTTGTAACTCTTGATCTGGGACTGATGATCACAAGATATGAAATGTTCTGTTTGCTGGTTCCATAAAGTTTACTTGATTTTTTCCCCATGTTTTCCAACCTCAGGAGAAAGGTGACGGAAGACCAGAGATAAACTGATTTATTGTAAACAGTGAATGCAGTTAGACGATCATCTCCCCACCCCCTGTCCACAAACTCACTCTGGAGTCTTGACAATCCAATTTGAGGTCACTTTACATAACTTTCCTCCTTTAGCCACTCCTTATTTTTCCCAGTTAAAATGATTAATTGGAGGGGAGCATTAGGTGGCACTCTTTGCCTTGAGAGAGCTGTGGATTTCCTACTCACTGGGGTGGGAACTAAAACAAGGAGTGAGGCATCATCTGATGGGGCATTTACGGTTGTGGGCAGAGCTGTGTCCTGTGGCCCATTATGGTTCAGGTCATTTTCCCAATCTCCTCCAGCATCTTTGTCTGGAACAATCCGCTCCTTGGACAGGCTGTGCCACCCTGAACCTGGTGCAGTCAGAGGCTTCTGGGCCTTGCCTAGGCTTTGCAAACCCCGGGATGAAGTCCCAGGGCCTCCAGCTAACACTGGCTTCTCTCACCCAGGAGAGATGGTCCAAGATGCTGATGTTGCCATGGCCTGAGCGGGTACAAACTTCTTACCAGTGACAAACACTTTCCAGGAGAGAGAAGCTATTGTTAAGGAGCATGGGCTCCACAGCAGGACTGTTTGCCTCTCAATCTTTCCTTCTCCACTGATGAGCTGTGTGACCTTGGCCAAGTGGCCCCACTGCTCTGAGCCAAAGCACTTAAAACAGTACATAGCACATAATAAACACTTAAAACCATAAGGGCCGGCCCCGTGGCTTAGCGGTTATCAGCGTGCACTCCACTACCGGCGGCCCGGGTCCAGATCTCCGGCTCGCACCAACGTACGACTTGTCCGGCCATGTTGAGGCGGAGTCCCACATACAGCAACTGGAGGGATGTGCAGCTATGACATGCGACTGTCTACTGGGGCTTTGAGGAGAAAAAGGGGAAAAAAAGGAGGAGGATTGGCAATAGATGTTAGCTTAGGGCCGGTCTTCCTCAGAAAAAAAAAGAGGAGGATTGGCATGGATGTTAGCTCAGGGCTGATCTTCCTCACAAAACAAAAAACAAAACCATAGCACTTATGATCATCAAGTGTTTTATTGTTTTTTACAGTATAGGCACTTGTTTTTTAATATCTTTTTTTAAGGAAAAAGGAATCATAAGTGAATGCACTGGTAATTATCTATTATCAGAATGATACATGCTCATCTACAAAATCATTTCCTAACTTCTTTCTGAACCTCTCACCACTGGGGAATACTGCTGTTTGGTTTCTTAAAAAATGGTGATAACTTCCCTATTGATGATTGATTCCCTATTCTTAGCATACTCTTGCTGTGTTTTGAATCAATTCTTTTATTTATTAGGTTTTTGGGCAAGGAGACTTAGTACGTTTCATTCTCATTACTTTTAATCATCTCCGTATCCTCCCCAAACAGTCTGTTGCTCACGTCACACGACAGAGGGCTCCATCAGTCCACTGTGATTAAACTCTTCCCATCTGCCCCCAGGAGGCTCACATCTGCATTTACAATCCTGGTGTCGCACGTCACATCCCAGGCCTCAAATGCTTGCTTCCTAAGTATGCCTCTTACTGAATTTCTCTTTTTGATCTCTTATATCTACACCTGTTGTGAAAAAAAATGAATACAAAGCAAGAATGCAGCATAACACTAAAACAAGAGCATTCTAATTTTGAAAATTTTTAATTTTCTTGTGCCACATAACAACGAGCTATGGTGTCACCAATCTGTAGTATAATTAACTTCTTGTCTTTTGTTCCTTAGGAATTTACATATCCAATTAATTATCTATTTTCTTATGGTTTTGCTACATTGACTAAAACTTTTTTAACAGAAAAGTCTTTTAATTTAATGGACTTTGCAGATCATTTGTATCCAGTCAGTTTTTAAAGTTGTTTTAGGATGACTGGATGCTACTGCATAATGCTATGAAATTTTCCTGGTGGGACTGGGGCACCTAGGTTCCTCGTCCACCAGGACAACTGCTGAAGAAGACTGCGTGGATGAAATCACGCAGTGGCCAGGAGCTGTGAAGGAGACACAGCAAGGTAGATTACATGGGAACAATGCTGATTTTAGACCATCCATGCTCTTTTGTGAAGGGACATTGCACCGGTACATTTAGTCCAAGTCGGCGCCAATTTAGACGACGTGGCTGAAAGCACTGTTTTTGCCCCACTGGAATTTCTGCTGTGTTTCTTTTGAGAACTCTGCATCAATTCCCACTTCTCCTGTCAAAGCAGACACAGTGAAGAGTCTCATAAATGGAGGGTCATTCAGGTCACACGGGAACACCAACCTGCAGAGTTACTGCAGCATTGAATGTGAATAAACTCAAAATGTGCTGCTGAGTGGCTGCAGAGGCAGCACTTTAGGGCCTGGGTTCTCGTCTCTCGGATGAAATTTTTATATATGGCCAAAATATATGCGGAGGTGACTTTTCTAGTCACCAAGAAAGCAAACTCAAGCTTTGCCTTGTATCAACTGCATTACCAGCAATAACAAAGTCGCAGAATTTAACAGCAAATGCTGGCTATTCAGCTCCTTGTTCAAGTAAGTCTACAGGCTCTGGTGATGCGAGACGATGATTTGTTTCGTTAGGAAGGAAAGGAGATGACCTCTGCTTTGCCTAGTATTTTGGGAGTTGGGACCACAGTTTAATGCAAACAGATGAAGTTTGCTCAAGGATCATCAAAGATCACACATGATATCAAGTTGGGAGTGGGGCCCATAGGTAGATATTTGCCATTTGCCACCAGAAAACAATCCAATTCAAAAGCAGAACTGAGAAACACATCATTAGGAGAATTCATTCAAACACCCATGCAGAGATATTCCAATATCATTTATTCTTTTATTCCCAGGCTCCTCTCCTCCCCTGGAGGGGAGGACGGGCAGTTCTATTTTGAATATAATTTAGGATAGGACTCAGCTCTCTGATTTATGCAAAAGAACATAAATTCACAAATCTGCCTGCTATACTTTTATATTCAATAAGTGGTTGTGTGCAGCTGCTGTTTCTGGCAAAATAAAAAAATAGTGGAAGTGAATAGATCATAAATGGCAATCATTTTTCCTTCATCAAATCCATCAGGTCATCTTCTATCCCTTTCTCACTCAGCTCATCTAAACTGTAGTACCGATGAACAATCTTCTCGGCGGTGACCACCACGACTCGGAGCCCGTGGGTGTCTTTGCCCAGCTGGCATCCGATGGCAGACGACACCACCATGTCGAGGTTCTGGTAGATGCCCCCAGCATTCCTGTGGTAGTGGCCCGAGAACACAGCTTTGATACCTGCAGGGAAGGGAAAAGAACATTAGGGGGCCAAGGATTTCCATTTAGGTAAATTGGGGCTCCAATGTTTTCTTCTATGAATAATAGTATGTTATTACATTAAATGCATAATATTATTCAGTACATAATAAATAAAAAGGCAGCATATGTGACATCCAGAATCCTTTCAAGGATAACTCATCTATACAATATATCACTAACACGTTTGTCATAACTAGTACAGGAAACAAGAAGGGAACAAGCTAGGGAACAAGAAGAGAGGAGGAGGGTAAGTGAATGACTTTGGGAGAGATGAAGAAGGCTGAAGGGAATATTTGAGGCCTCTGGAAACAGCCATATGATGGATCTTATATTTCTACAAAAAATAATGTTTATGGAGTTCTAATCAAGATAGCACACCATGTTCAACATTTAATGTATCTCCTCTGCTCCAAACTTAAAGCCATGATGGATAAGATATAAAAAAGAAAACCAAGGGACAAAGGTAGCCTCCAAACCAAAATAAATAGTTCTGTGGACCAGAAACAAAGCAGGAAGGCAAAGTAATGAGTGGGGTTACAATGTTACTGGGAGCTGAGCTCTTATCAGATAATTGAGACTGAAAGCACTTTCTGAGATGAGGAAAGAAAGCCTGGGGCCTGCAATGAGTACCTCTGTTTATGGAAGGAGCCTGAAGAAAACCGCCATTGCCTGCTGCCTGGGGCTGCGACAGTGGTGTGCTGGTGTGGTTAACAACTACTTCAGGGAAAAAAAAAAGACCTGATTTGTAATGTTTACTAATTTCCATGGTGTAAACACTCTCATTATGCCCGATTTCAAATTACCAAGGTGATGTCATTGAACCAAAAGTGGGAAGAGATGCCCAGTAGGTAGCACATCATTATATGGTGTTTCCACCACACAGATACAAAAACCGTAAACAACACTAAGAGCATGGATAATAGCAACATGTAGCAAGATAATTAGAAAATAGTAAGTTTTGAGTATTTATTACCTTCGCTTTTTAATATAATCTATTTAATGGTGAATTTGTAGAATTTAATTTTTAATAATGGCTGTTGATTAATAATGAGCTCACAAAATTCCTTAAATTTAATAATTGGTTTTTGTGAGCCGGCAGGAGCTCTCTCCAGCACACCACTGGGCCAGGGCTTATAGCAACCTATGGGTCTAGAAAGGAAGGACAGACACAGGCTCAAGTCTAGGAATTGAAACACGTTTTCTCAGTATGACTGTGGGACAAGGGTCCTAAAGTACTTAGGCCTGGTCCTGGGTAGGGGCAGGGGTGGAAATAACCAAAACCACTAGACAGGGAGCAGTGAGTCAAGAGTGCAAGTGAGGGAAAAACAACAACAAAAAATACCCTCTTACTCAAACTGAACCTGAAATAAAAAGTTCCACCACCCATGAAGAAATCTCACGCTACGTAACACAGTCTACAAACTCTTCAATCAGGAACATGAATTCACTCCAGCTGAAATCAATGAAATACAACTGTCTGAGAAATATTTTAAATATGTTTAGGATATCAAAAAGTCCTTTAACAAGGACTAATCCCCATAAAAAAGAACAACATATTATGAAACAAAACAAGCATGAATTGAATGAGAATAGTTGGTAAAGAAAATTTAGAAATGGCAGACATAAAAGACAACCATTAAAATTTAAAACAAAACAACTCTCAATAAATGGGGTAAATTCTAGACTGGACACTAATGAGAGAGGAAATTAGAGAATTAAAAGGTAAAATTGAGGAAATGAACCTCTGTGTTAGAGGCCCAGACACAAACAATATAACAAATAGTTCAAGGAGCCCAAAGGGTGGATTAAGAGGTATCGATGGTGCTTAAGAGGAGCTGGGACAGAAGAAACAATTACTTGAAGAAATAATAGCTGGGGATTTTCCAGAAAGGAGGAATATATGAGGTCTTCAGATAAAAAGTACTAAGTAGGACAAATAAAAATCAATTCATACTGACATGTGGAGCACTGAACAGAAAAACCTTTAAAAAGATATCACGGTAAAAATATTACAAAGGAATGACAATTAGACAGATAGCAGGCATCTTAGCAATAAGAGAATCAAGCAGTGACACCTTCCAATGCTGAGGGCAAGTAACTACATGAACCTCAAATTTTACACCTGGCTAAACCACCTGTCAAGTTCAAGGGCAAAACAGATACATGTTTGGGCATAGAAAGACTAAGAGTTTACCACTTCCAAACCTTTACTACAAGAATTATTAAGAGATATCTTTCAGCAAGGAAGGGATGAAATATTAAAAAACAATGATGAGCAAACACTGATAAAATATTTTGGTGAATTTAATTAACTACTGATTTTCTTTGAAAAAGTCTATTTTTTAATCTTAAAGTGAAACTAAAACTCAAACAAAAATGTCAAAATGGACAGTTCAATGGATAATTAAAGCATATAAAAGTTATTGTCATGTTTGGAAGGAAGATGAAAATAATGAGTAACTTTATACTTCGCTAGAAAAAAATGTATAATTATCGTGATTCTTAAAAATGTTTGGCCACAAGCAACCAAATTAAAAATAGATAAATTGAACTTCATCAAAATTTAAAACTTTTGTGCTTCAAAGAACATTATCAAGAAAATGCAAAGATAACCTATTGGAATAGGAGAAAATATTTGCAAATCAATACCCAGAAAATATAAAGAACTCTTACAACTCAACAATAAAGAGACAAATAACCAAATTACCAAACGGACAAAGGATTTGAACAAACATTTTTCAAAAGAAGACATAGAAATGTCCAATAAGCACATGAAAAGATGCTCAGCATCATCAGTCATTAGGTACATGCAAATCAAAACCACAATGAGATACCACTTCATATCTACTAGGATGGCTATAATCAAAGAGATGGAAAATAACAAGTGTTTACAGGGATTTGGAGCAATTGGAACCCTCATATAGTGCTGGTGGAAATGTAAAATGGTGCAGTTGATCTGGAAAACACTTTAGCAGTTCATCAAAATGTTAAACATAGTTACCACATGACCCAGCAATTCCACTCCTAGGTATATACTCAAGAGAAATGAAAACATACATCCATGCAAAAAACCTGTAATGAATGTTCATATCAGCACTATTCATAATAGCCTAAAAAGTGGAAACAACCTAAATGTCCATTAACTGAGGAATGGATAAACAAAATGTGCTACATCCATAAAATGGAATATTATTCAGCCACAAAGAGGAACGGAGTACTGATATGTGCTACAACATGGATTGACCTCGAAAACATGATGCTCAGTGAAAGAAGTCAGATACAAAAGGCCACATACTGTATGACTCCATTTATATATGAAATGCCCGGAATAGGCAAATCCATAGAGAAAGAAAGAAGATTTTTTGTTTGTCAGGGGCTGGGGAAAGGGGGGAAAGGAGAATGGGGGGTGACTGCTAATGGGTACAAGGTTTCTTTGTGGAGTGGTAAAAATGGCCTGGAATTAGTGGTGATGGTTGCACAACCTTGTAAATATACTAAAAACTACTGAATTTTATACTTTAAAAGGGTGAATTTTATGGTATGTGAATTATATAGCTCAATTAACAAAGCAAGGCAAGGGGAAGCAACTAGAATGATCTACAGTGATGGATTAGAGTTGGAGACATCCGTGTGAACTCACGTTTAGCTTTAGTATCGAAGCAGATGGCTACATACAGAAATATTTATAGATGTGTATATACACAGGTTAGTGTACACACACACATTCCCTTGCTCTGTCAGCTCAGAGTGCCTAGAAGCAAGGACACACACTAGCAATGGGCACACGTAGTGTCCAGATCTTGGTTTCTAACACCACTCTCTGATAAAAGGAACAATGGATCCTTGGAGAAATGGCTGACTTTAGGGCTGGGGCAGGAAATACACAAGAGGAGCCTGGAGCATTTTGTAGGGCCAGAAAGTAAGAAAGTAACCAAAAACTCACAATGACGGGGGCAAGTCAAAGGGACACAGGAATCAACTGAAAGAGCTCCCAGTGGCCAAAGTTTAACAATTTGAGCAACAAAATAAATTAGTACTGAATTATAATCCAAAATATATTTTAAAAATCCATGAGTCCATACTCATATAAATAAATGACTGAATAAATAAATAAATGTGGGAGAAAGAGACAAATCTCCCATAGAGAAGAATAACAATTTACGTAGATATTCCATCCCCAAGGAGGTGAAGCATAAGTGCTTACCCGTTAGGTATGGGCTGTGCACGGTGACTTCCTTCCAAGAGTAACCTTACAGTGGAGAAACTGGACAGATAGCAACAGTGATGACACATCATGTTGATAATACACACGCTTCATATGACCGATGAAAGTGGCGCTTTACCTGTGTGGTCCTCCTCCCCCAAATCCATAGCCCCAGCATGAGAAAAGCGTCAGACAAATCCCAATAGAGAGACATTCTATAAAATACCTGACCAGTACTTCTCAAAGCTGTCAAGGTCATCCAAAACAAGGAAAGTCTGAGAAACTGTCACAACCAAGAGCAGACTAAGGAGTATGATGACTAAATGTAATATGGTATGCTACTTGGGATCGTAGAGCAGAAACAGGACATTAGGTAAAAAGTAAGGGAATCTTATCATGGATGTTAGTTAATAAAAATGTATCAATGTTGGTTCATTAATTGTAATAAATGTACTGCACTAGTGTAACCTATTAATAATGGGGGAAACTGGGTACAGGGTATATGGGAATTCTCTGTATTATCTTTGTAATTTTTATGTCAATCTAAAATTGTTCTAAAATTTAAAAGTTTATTTTAAAAAAACATATGGATAATTTCCAAAAGAACAGAAATGGAATATATAGCTTTCAATCAGCAAAGAGGGGGAAAAAAATCACAATAACTGCAAAAAACAATCAAACAAAAAATTTTTTAAATGTTATTAACACCAAATGCTGGCTCTGGAGCAGAGACACTGGATCACTCTTACAGTGCTGGTGGGAATGTAAAGTGGTACAGCCACTCTGGAAAATAGCCTGGCAGTTTCTTATAAAACTAAACATGGACTTACCATATGACATAGCAAGAGAACTCCTGGACATTTATCCCAGAGAAATGAAAACTTATGTTCACTCAACAATCTGTACACAAATGTTCATAGCTGCTTTACTTGTAACAGCCAGCAATTGGAAACAATGTCCTTCAATAGGTGAGTGGTTCAACTGTGGTACATCCATACCATGGAATACTACTCAGCAATAAAAAAGGAATGAATTATTGATACATGCAACAACTTGAATGGATATCAAGGAAATTATGTTGATTAAAAAAAGCCAAACTCAAAAGTCTCCATACTGTATGATTCCATTTACGTAACATTCTTGAAATGACAAAATTATAGATATGGTTGCTAAGAGTTAGGGACAGAGATGGAGGGGTCAGGTGTGGATGCAGCAGGAGGGATACTCATGGTGATGGAACTGTTCTGCATTTAACAATGATTCAAAAAGGTATGAAGGAAATATGTTCACAATGTTTACAGCAGCTGCTTCTGGTTAGCAGGATTCTGGGAGACCTTCAACAGAGCTCTCCGGACTATGCCATGTGCACGAGGCAGGAACTGAGGCCCACCTGTGGGCAGGTGTGGCTGCCTGCCAGCTGAGGTCCACAGCTAGGGATGGGAAGGAAGGTGACCCAGGTTTCCCTACTTAAAACAGCCCAGGGTGGGGAGAAACAGCTATTTCCAGTTACTGTTATTAAAATGGAAACAGATACAACTCCTTTCACAGAGTAATTTGGTGCTATCGTCTCACACTTTATTGTGCATCCCCCTTGACCCAACTCTACCATTTTCATAGAATTTTATCCTTCAGAAATACCCAGAGAAGAGTCCACAGATGTAGGTGTGTTGTGCCTGTGGGCATTAATATACAGTGCAGTGTTCACTGAGGCACTGTTTGTAATGCTCACTTATGGGAGACTGGATAAATTATAGTACGTGGATTCAAAAAAAGAGGTCGATTTACATGTACCGGCATTGAAAGCCACCAAATATATTATTAAGCAGGAACAGCAAGATGTAAAAAAAAAAGTGTTGTGTAGGGAAACTAAAGAAAAAATAAACAAGTGGGACTTTATCAGATTAAAGAGCTTCTACAAGACAAACGAAACCAGAATCAAGAAGAACAGACAACCCACCAGCTGGGAGAAAATATTTGCAAAACATATATCTGACAAGGGGTTGATCTCCATGATATATAAAGAACTCACACAACTGAACAACAAAAAAACAAACAACCCAATCAAAAAATGGGCAGAGGAAATGAACAGACACTTCTCCAAAGAAGATAT